GCTTTTAACGTGTTATAATAGAAATCGTGCATTAACGTTTTAGATAGGTCGAGCACGCTCACTCTGCAGTAAATGGGCTTGTTCAGCTTGGTCTTTACTCGGTACATTTCCACGAATGAGAGGTCGCACTCTTTAAACGGAACAGTACTTTTTTAGTTCGGTTTAAACGTTAATTTTTTGTACTTATCTGCGTCTTGTACGTCTCTCAATAAACGATCGTCCATTCGGAATCTGACGTTTTCCATAGTCTTGCCAAAAACCTAGTTGTTCATCAGTTTTAAAAAGTTTTTCTCAAAATCAGACTTTGCTAATTTGCGTAGCTCAGTGTTTTTATCGATGTAGCTCTTCATCCAAGGCCATTGTTTAAACGACATGACGCGGTGTACCTGTTTTAACTGGAGGCCAAGTTCCAAGTACTTTTGCAACGTGCGATAATGAACTACGTATTTATGTTTTATGGCCAACGTGGCTACGAGTTTGTCTACAGAAGTTACCTTCTCACCTTTGTTAATCAAGTTATTTTGGTAGCTTGAAACCATTCATTGGGCACTACTAAGTTTTCAGGTGCTAGTGGGAAGGCGTTGTGTGAAGAATGTAAGTGCTTTGGGTAGTCTAAAGTGACTTCAAACATGTACCCAAGCGTGTCATTTGGTAGAATTTTATAAATAAACTCGGGAGTAAATTTGTTTAAGCTTTTAAGCCACTGAACTCACCCATTGGTAAAGGCTGACTCATGGCCCATCCGTATAAATTGTTCGCGTCTAAATACATGATATGTGACTCTGGTTGAGTTGGGTCTTAGTCAGGTAGGCCCGGATTGTTCGCTTTGGCAAAACGCTTTGCACCCACGCTCGATATACCGCCTCGTTTGGCCTTTCAAAAACAGGTGCTGGTTTGTGTCTGTCAAGAGTTCCAGTTTAAAACCCGAGTGCTTTAACAGAGCATCCCACGATAGGCCCGGTGAAGTGTAATAGTTGGCTGGGTCAAGGCCGTAGTTTTGTTTACAGACTTTGTGGAAGTTCTCAAATACACCCACTAGTAGTAATACGTCCGTTTCCACGTATAGGTCGTGGTAGTCGCCTAGGTTTTGGCAGTTGAACGTTTGCCATACTGTTTGGGCTCGGGCATGCTCTTTATCGGTCACAGTGGACTGCTTCAGAGAACTGTAAAAAGCTGATTGGGGAGGGGAGTTGTGGTTCTCCAAATTTATTAAACGAGTCTATGTATTCGCAAGGGTAAATTCCCTTTTCTAAAAGCATACCCGTTTTTCTGGAAATCTTCCGCGAAGTAAGTTAAAATCATCGGGTAAACAATTTCTAACCAGTCGATCTAGCGAAGCCGCCATGGATTGAAAGGAGTCTAGCAACCTGAGTTGGCCAATTGGAAACGGGATGTAGTTCTGTGTGTTTTTAGCAATTAATTTTATTTCTTCTCCGTTAAACTCTTGAGCGCCTTGCATGATTAAATGTGCGTCATATTTTTTCAAAGTTGTGCAAAATTACTGGAATGGGTGTTTGATACGGAACGACTTTAAGTTTTAAGTTGCAGAAAGCATGTGCTGGGCCTCGGTACTTACTCGTCACGTGACAGTGATCTCTGACCTTTCTAAATTTGTTGATGGGCTTTGTGCACGTCTTACAAATAGAGTCTTTGAAACCAGATTTGTTTGTAGTACTGTAACTCGCTCGATCGCCTTTATATCGATTCTTCTGTCTTGCCAATAAGTTGCTCACAGATCCAGCAGCGGTTACAATTTTCGTAAATTTTTTGTAACTGGCGCGACCAAATTAACGGCTTTTTATTTTCAAATGTGTCGTTGATCTTGTCTGCTTCCTCAGCAAGAGACCTGACAAAATCACCTGCCGTGTCTTGACCTCTGTACGTCTTTTGACCCGTGCATTTACCTTTGCATCTGACAACTGCGTAAGAATAGCCGCAGGGTTTGTGGATCTGGGTATTGACCGTGTTTGTATCTGTTGGTGGTAATTTTTCTAAAACCGACTCAAAATCTGCGTGTATGACAAAAGGTGTATCTTGTTTTTATAGTTTTCAAATTGTAAAATGTTTTTACCTTTGGTGACTAATTCGACTTTAAAGGGAACCACGTCTAACCATTGACAATCTTCCTTGTGCTTGGTTAACTTTTCTTCTGTTTGAAAGTACGACATGCAGTTAAAGCACCAGTGTTTCTTACCATCGTGTTTATCAATATCACCCGTCAAGCGTGAAAAGTTTTTAATCCAACAGTAGTGGCTCTGTTCACCTAGGGTAAAATAAAGTAAATTGATCGGTTTGCCCATGCTCTTAGTTTTGTAAAGTATGTAAACACCGTCTTTTTTGTCGTAACCAAACACGTTGATAGCTAAGTTGTTTTGTGATTCGATACGTGGGATTTGTGAAATGGGTGTCGGAAAGCTTATGTTTGTAAAATTAAGGCCATCTGCTGCTGTGTAAGTCGAGTTGCGCTCGTTGTTTAATCTAAAGTTTGTTTTTTTCTAACTGACTTTTGACGCAGTCCGAATATAATTTTGAAACTGCTGTTAGTGCCCATCGGATAGACAGTTGATCTTTGTTTTGAACGTTGATGATTGCTTTCTTATCCGCCAATTGCACGGGTAGTGGAATATACGTGGCGCCTACCAGTTTATATTTAACCACGTTGATGTAAAAAGCGTCAACTTTATCAAAGATCCATCCTGATCTGCGTTGTGTGTGAGCCTCCACGTCCTCTATTTGTTTTTGCCTCTGTTCTGCGAGTACACACACCAAGGTCGATTTGGTCGTTTTTTTTCCAATCTAAACTGCACTTTGAGGGCGGTTTGTAATTTGTAAGAACCAATTTCCTCTAACTCGTCTAACGCTTTCTTCTCGATGAAAGTTTTGTTAAAATGAAAAAAGTGTAGAGATCATATTCAAAAAGCTGGGTATTAGTTCCCAATTGCGATAGTTACCCTGAAAGATCCTCACGTTTCTAATATCAACTTCAGCAATTTCCTCGGGTTTGAGTGTAAGCTTTAATCGCTTTGATGAGATCTTGTTTGACGACTCTGCCCTTGTGCGTAAATGATATGTCGTTGTCTTGGACCGTTTGTGACAGCTGGCGATATGACTGACGCGGGAGGTACCTTAATTGCTTTTGGTTCGTTCGGATGGCTTGGACAAGTTCGTGCTTGGTGTGAAATTTACGTTTGGGTGCCGGTAAGGGGATGTTATACTGCTTGAAAAATCAGTTAAAAACGCCTTCTTGAAACGATTGAAGGTTGATAATAGTGGTCTGTGTTTTGGGGTTGCTCATGTCTCTATTTATATATAGGTTTTTTAAAGTGTTCTCATTTTTTTCCCGCGACTTGAAATGACATGTTTTTTTATATATTGTTATTTTTATATATAGGTCTTTTATTTAAGGAGGTTGTAAACAGCTGTGTATTGCCTAAAACCAGAGTTGCGCTCTCAGAGAAGTCACGAGTTCGGTCGGGCGGTTGGGAAAGCAAGGGGAACTTCCCATTTTTTTGTTTGAGGGTCAAAGTGTTCGTGCAGTAGAAGAGCCGGGATTGTTTGTGCCGATGTAAGGTCAAAGGTCAGGGTGAGTGAATTGGGAAACCCGGCGCGGGTGAGTGAGGGTGGTGGGAGGAAGAGGGTGGAAAAGGGGGCCACGCTTGAACTGTCTAATCCCTTACAACTACAGTGACCAATCCCAGCTAAGTATACAGATGCATAATGCATCTACGTGAACTGGCATGCACGAGCTGGACCAGCTTCCGAGACGACTGCAGCATGACGAGATGTCTTTTTGCTTGAATTCCGCTGCAGATAAATTAAGAATAGGTGATTTTCGTGCCGAGTAGTGGCAAGCCTTAGAATACTTTGTGCGGGGTTACGACGTTTCCGTTAACGTGCTAACTGGCTACGGGAAATCTGTTATTTTTCAGGCCGTACCTTTCTGCTTGGAGCTCCTCAGACCAGATACAAAGCCGATAGCATTAGTCATTTGAAAAACATCAATCACAATCAATAAGGCAAAGCAAAGGCGAACTTGATCTCCGATTACTTTGATCAGCTGGCAAAATAAATATTGATTTGTCATATACATGTATAGCCACGTGTGCATTCAGTCAACCTTTCACCTTACGACCGACTTGAATTATGCAGTTACTCTGTAGCAATGAACCAATCGAAAAGCCTATTAAAAACATCGGCTCCTACATTAGCATAATGAACTTCCGCGGACGGTTGCACCAAGGCGTTCGTCCTGGTTTAGCTGATTTGCATATCTCGTAGACCGCGCAAGGTCGCTCTTCGCCTTGATTTCGAGCGGCAGGTGCGCGCTGCGCTGCGCTGTGACGATTGACGAACACTTTGACGAAGGCTAGCTTGAACGCGGCCTTTTGGTTGACTGAGACCTCACAAGGTAACTTTTGTATTGTGGCCCTTTAGGTATGTATTGCACTTGTCGCATAGAAAGCATGGCAGCGATGCAAACATATGGACGAAGGCCGGTGGTCATGCACCATGGACAAAAAGCATTTTTCTTAGGTCACACCCTTCGATTATTTCTGAACTCAGAAACGCCAAGACGGAAGGCAGAAGGGTTGTCAACTTGACAAGACACTCCACGGCCATTACAGTGGGGAAAAAGGGGAAAAAAGAAAAATAAAATGAAATGAAAACAAAAATCAAACAATTGTTACAAAAAGTCAATGAAACGGATCGCTCGTTTGTACGATGAAACGGGAATAGTCCGAAACCCCTGACCCCCGAAATCCCTTTTTGTATTTTTCCATGGACGTAGAGTATATATGGTGCGTCAGGGGCTGGCGGTCTCGGATTCTTTGGTATACAAACATTTGTCACAGGCCAAATAAAGCTTGCGCATGAGTAGAAATCTAAATGCCATCCGAGAGTGGGCAATTTGTTTACTTTTAGATCATTATTCATAAGCAAAACTTTGTAATGATTTACAGGAAACATACAGCCTTCAGTTTCTTGAGTTTTCATTGCAGGCTTATTCAGAGAAGGACAAGTACATAGCCACTCAAGGTAACCAAACATTAAGTTATTGTCCGTTCACTTAATCTCCATGAATTAAAGCAATCACAGAGAGACGACAGACTCTTCTTTGTTTTAAGAGAATGTGTGTTTGATGACCATAGTATTGGTCATTTTGCTTTTATTCTTTACGAAACAAGGACCGACTGAGTCAACTGTTGACGATTTTTGGCGCATGGTGTGGCAGCTGAATGTGGACAAAATAATCATGCTCACCAATCTGAAGGAGAGTTTTCAGGTATCCAGTTTGTGGCATGCTTACTGCTTATTGCAGTTGTTGCTAATTAAGCTTTAGAGGCTGTTAAAGCAGTTAAGAAGTTTGACAACCAAAAATAATTGACTGTTACCAGATAGGAAAAACAGACGAGGCAATCCCGTTCTGCATTAATTCTATAGTAAAAGTGACCAATCGAATTTGTATAAATGTTTTCAAATGAAAGTCTAAAAAACAGATGTTGCTTTAGACCAAATGTCTAGGAGTCCATAATTTTCGGTTTGGATTTGTTTTTTAATTTCGGTGTTAGAAAGAAATATGTTTCACTGGTGAGATTTTTGTAACACAGATTACAGTTTAACCACCTCATGAACAGCACTTGGTATCCATTGTAAATTTGGGGGTGCAGTGGTTCTCAGTGTACCAGTATGTTGATTGATTTTCACCAATTTAAATTGATTGAATTATCTTGCTTAACTCGTCATATCCATTTCAAATGTCAGCAGTACTGGCCTCATTCAGGATTCACTAACTACTCTGACACCGCACTGCGCATTATCAAAGAAGAACACTTCGCAGACTACACGATCCGTGTCTTTAAGATAAACAAGGTAATGTTTGTTTTTTAATGTACAATTTATGCATTAAATGTAATCCATAGGCATGGTCAGAATTTATTGAACTGTACCCACTTCCATTGCGCATCACTGTTAGGTATTTGCTAATAATACTTGATTCTTTAATGTATGAAATTTAAGACACGATCTTATCTGTTTCTTGAGACAGCTTTAATCATTTCTTGAAATTTATTTGCCAGATACCAAATTTGTTCAGGCAAGCTGGCATCAGAAATATGGGCTAAAAGGTCCCTAACAGATCAACAACACAATCAATAGATCCGAAATACATCAATTTCCATTTGGCACCCAGGCCAATCAAAAACTCAGTGAACACCCTGGTCCCATGTACATGTACATCAATTTCCATTTGCCACTCAGGCCAGTCATTAACTTAGTGGGCACCCAGGCCCAGGAGCAATCATTCTGGGGTACAGCCACGGTTTGCTGTGGAACATACAGCACACCCGACCCCATGGTTACCTAAGAGGGAGTGGCTGACCCCTTACAGTGCGTAATACACATAATCCATATGAGCAATAATATCCACTGTTAACAGTAACCATAATAATAATAATTATATACGCCAAATCATGTATGTATTAGGAGATGGCTGTTTCTGAATCCTGTTAAAAAAACGCCACTTCTTAATGACAAGGCAGGAGCTGGGTTGGCGGCAGGCAAATTGAACCAGCTTGCAAATTTTTTTCGGACGGAATGACCGATCCCACGCAATGTGAATTCCCTCCTAAACTGGCATTGTCTGCAATTAGTGCCTTGACCCCTTGCCTTATTGGTCAAAACACTTGGCTGTGATTAGCTAACACTCTTGGCTGTGTTTGGTTTAAACGTCTTAACTGGGATTGGTCAAATCTATGAATAATAAGTGCTAGAATCCCCCATAGAATCCCGTCTTTGTGAAACCCTTAACTTTTATGCATAGAGGGGTAAACTGAGTATGAAACAATGCGAATATGTGAACAATGATGACTGCTTAAACTCTGAATATAACCACCCAGGACAGTTTACATTGTAAAATAAACTACTTTCAATCACACAAGCATTGTTGTCAAACAATAGTACGTAGAGGACTCCCATTTCACTTTTGTATCCAGTCGATGTTTGTTTCAGTGCGTAAAACATTTTATATTGGACAAGTTTTATTTTCCCACACTCAGTTTCTCTCTCATTAACATTGTCATGCTCACACATCACATTAATTTTTTTAATCAGTTTTTTAGTGCGGAGGGTAATCGTCTTGTGACACAGTTTCATTTCAACGCTTGGCTAGGCATGAAGCCCCCTGAGTACCCATCTATCTTGCTCAACTTCATGCGCATGGTGAACACAGAGCCGACCGAGGGACGGACCATTGTACATTGCAGGTAGGAATGTGCCCGAATTACGTACTAAATTTATTTCATTTTATCAGGGTTGCCATGATTATCGAACTTTAATGAACTGCTCTCCTTTGGAGTCCAAGATTATGTGTTATAAGTGCATAACATGGCCATTTTCTAGCCCGTAAATCAATTTCCTTTGCATCTAACAGCTTAAAATAACCACGGTGTAGTATTTAACTTCTCCTGAAGGAAGGGGGTTGGCTTTGTAAATTCATTCAGGCGCAGTGCACTTATTTGATTTTACAGGTACATTATATGCTCACAGGCACTCGGACCTATACAGGTTTTTCACATGACAGGCAAATTCAGGAAGCATACCATGTCCGTGGAACTGAGGCGCCTGCATTTTCACTGCTTGTCTGTTTCGTTTTGCTATCTTCCCTACTTGAGGCAATTTGCGTTCACGACTTTGGGGTTTCCCATGAGCGTGCCAAGACAAATAGCTGTTGAACAGATGAACATAGCCATTAGAAAAATGGCCTTATTCAAAGCATTGCAATTTATTAATTTACAACTTCTCTTTTTTGCTCTTCATTCATAGCAATGGCATTGGCCGCACAGGAACATACATTGCTCTGGACTCCATGCTAGATCAGATGCAGAAGGAGAGACGAGTTGATGTCCTTGGTTTCATCTATCGAATGCGACAAAAACGAATTAACATGGTGCAGACTCTGGTAAGAAACAAAGTGCTTTGAGCCCCGTGCCACAACAATTAGAAGCGCACATCGCCTAAGAAATCTAGAATATAGACGGAAAGCAACCCAGTTCCCCGCTGTGTATTTATTTGAATGACAAAAGACGATATTAATGTGTTGAGCCAATCACATGTCCTTTTACAAAACCTTCCGTAAGTTCAGTGACAAAGTCCCTGGAAAGGACTTGTGTTCTTTTGAGTAGGTTCATTTGATTAGCTTTTGAATTTACCCGGACTTGATTTATTGTGACATATGAAGCAAAATATAGGACAGAGAGAACCCCCCCCTTGTGTGGTCATTGTTATACTGGTATCTCAGGAATTTGTTTCAGACATGGGGGGGATGTGTTAAGTGACAATAGGTTGGAGTGTGTGTAGGGATTGGACTTGTTGGGGGTACCCCTCTGTCCCATTTCGTACCTGGTATATATTGTGATTGAGTTTTAGAGAGTTGCAAGGATTTGCTATGGACTCAAATACAACTCCAGATATTAACCTTAGCGATGAGCGACACACGAGGCTCATGAACTATGAGTATACCACACGAGTTAAAAAAAAATGGCACGTGGGCAAAGCAGGGACTGGCGGGCAGTAACTTGGTCCTCTGCGCTGGAGACACAAACAGTAAAGACAGATGGACGGACAGCTAAACATGCTTACAATCCTGTGTTTATATAGTTGGTCACCTGCAATTTGTGTTGACACAATTGTATTTTTAGGAGCAGTACCGATTCATCTTCGATGCTTTGCTTGAGGTCTCCAAGGCTGGAGAGGCGGAATATGTGAACATAAAGAAAGGTGCTAAGAAAAGGGGAAACCGTTGGGTGTGAAACTGGTCGGGAAGTAACCCAAAGATGTTCAACGTAATCCAAACCGTTGTTTCCAACGGCTTGGAATATTATGACCAATAGATTAAGTTTTGTGGGTTTGAGCATTTTTAACTGGACAGTTTTTTGTTCCATGAATGTGGGCAAATGCTCAAATCAAACTCTCATATCTTTGGCTAATTTTGTACACCGTAACTCGGAACAAGTGATAAGCCTCAAACCTCAGTTTTGCAAGGTTTTTAAGCAGGGGTTTCGAGACTAAACGGATTAAATAATTTTTTTATGAAGATGAACAGAGAATGGCCTCTGTCTTGCTCATAGAATTGCTCATAGACGAGATAATTATCAAATTAAACTCGTAAAACTAAAAATCCCTCGACATTAGCATGGTGTTTGTCATTGCACAAAATATCTTGGCGTTAGAGTGTATAGTGTCATAAACTGTTTACCAATTGCAATTATACATAGCACTCATGCTTGTGCGTGAGTGAATGAGGTGGCGCGTGAGTGAGTGAGTGGGTGAGTGAGGGGATGAGGCGGCGAACTGAGTGGGGAAGGTTCTGAAGAAAACCAAACGATTCACCTTTTTCGCAGTATACTCAGTCACATGGATTTGTCCACCTGCAAGTCTGTAAGAATGTAAGGAAGTACACTTGATCAGAAAACATCTACTTTTTATAAGGTATCTGACATGAAGCCTTTTGAATTTTTTATATGTTTTTCGACGTAACTTTTAAAATGAGACGTAGTTTTATTCAGAACATTAACTAATACGTTTGGATATTTGAATTTTAAGTTTCAGTTTTCGAATCCTGTTTTTAAGGCTGAACTTTTCATGAGACTTTCTTTTTTTATGGAACAAAGAACATCACTTGCTCCATGCGGCAAAAACAGCTGCAGAGCTCTTTAATGATGTATCGATTCATAAGCACTGCTGTCTGAACATAACCGTGTCATGATAACGGGAGAGAGAAATTCGTAAGGGAAAACTTGAATCCACAATAGCAATGAAGTTAGAAACTGAACTGATTGGCACAACTGCTTAAGCGAAGGTGGTTACCCCTGGTTTGATGACTGGCCTGTACAGTTAAAAAGGTATTAATTAATATAGCATCTTCACTTGCTACATTCCACTACGAACTTCCGGTTGTAAACCCATAAGTTGTCGGAGGTGATGAAATATTTAAAGCCTTGTGGTCTTTAGGTGAATTGCTAAAACACTTTTGACTGTTCAGGATTAGAAGTGTTTCGAGAATTTCATTCATGCATCATTACCAAGGCATAAAAAATACAATCTCACAGCTTTTGATATTTGGACTTCACTGTATATGCAAAAAAGACGCTTTTGGTTTTTGATTCAAGATGTTGTCTTGATGATTTAAGTTTTCAAAGTTGAATGAAAAGTTGAATATACTACTGACCTATGTTTGAACATGCGCCTGTTTTTCATTCATGCGCGTAAATCCCGGGAGGATCGGGGCATATATCCCCACTTTTTGAGAGGGGATGGATTAACGGAGCCATTCCTCACCTTTTCGCCGGGGAGCAATTAAAAATTGGATTTTAAAGAATTTTCTAGACTTCCAACGACTAAAATGCATTCAGGATCACTCAAAAGAGGCAAAAACAATTTTAAAAGACGTAAATTGCCATCGTGAATACATCATTATAGATGATCATCATTATCAATATCATGAACAACGACCCTCACATAGAGTCATATGGTGCCACCCCAACCCCCAACCCCCGCTTTCAAATTTTCATGGCTGGCCAAGTCATCCTCCCACCTTTGCCCATCCCCCATCCTCCCAATTTCCAGCACTAGTTTACACCACTTGCTGCTCGTTTGAAAATGCTTAAATAAAAACGATATTATTGTTCGGCATTATTGTAATATCTGTAGATGTAAAATGTTATGTTTCCAACATTTTCAAATTGTAGTTGCAGTAACTTTAAAAAATAACGAATACTGTTATCCTTGTGTTTAACTCTCTGGAAAAAGGCAGCGACTGATAAGTCCATGAACCCTAAACGACATTTTGATTGAAATACTGGTGCACGTATTTTGATCAACGGTTTATAAAAGCGCTCCGGTGGCGTAGCCCGGGGGGGGAATCTCAAGAATGTTGCCCTCTCTCAGAAGAGCTTGGCTATGCAACTGCAGTATTCCATCCAGAAACCATTTGTTAATTGCATCAAACATTATAATTTAAGAACTTATTTGATTATTGCAATATATTGGTGCTTTTAGCATCAGAATGAATTCGAGGGGCACATGTTTTCGTAGTTTTGAACATAGATGACCTGGATTTCCGTGGTTTTTAGTGAAACTCAAAAATATGTGCGCCGGCAGCAGTCGTGACATACTAGCAAAACTTGTAATCGTCACAGGTGTCTGTTATTTGACGAACACTGTTCCTTTGTGTTTAATTCTTGTCTCTTTCGGCTGTTTCAGCTAATTGCCTGAATATCTGATTGTGTCGATATCGACCTGCATTTGCCTTTTTTGTGCGCTTTAGTTTTGCAGAATGTGGTTAAGCTTTTCCCTGTTTCACAATCTTAAGACATTAAAATATGTATTTCTGCTGTTGACCGGTCATCTTTAATATGCGGAATTGGCCTTACTTACAAATCAGAATTATTGATTTGAAAGTGGGGTTACTGTTTTGTTTGGGAAACCAGGAAATAGAAATGAGAGCAATGAAATAAAAGTTCATTAAACATAATTTCATTTTTTGCTGATGAATATATTAAAAATTGTGATTAATTACGTGTAAATGCTGTAAGCCACGTTAAAAAAAGGATGAGGCATGGAACTCAGGAGACTGACACCACCCAATGTAATATGAATGCGCTATCATAGGATGAACATAGAACGGTATTATGCTTTACCGGTACTGTAAATAAATGGAGTGTATTTACTCAGTCCAAGAACTATAAAAATGGATACTGTAATCGGGAATCCGTACATAGATGCAATAATAATATTGGATGGCTTCAAGAAAGATACAAGAATTGACTGCATGAACAGTAACAAGTTTGCATCGTCTGCTTTACGTTTTATGGCCAACAAGGGTACGGGAAGGTGTGTACTTTAAAATGCTTATGACCTCTTGTTTACTTCCGATAACCGAATAACTTGTTGATATATTTAACAAGTATGTAAAAACTTATTATGAAAACATGTTACTACATACAAACGAGTTTCAGTGTTTACTTTATCAAAGGTGTCTCGTGTGCAAAGTGATTAACTGCAAGTGAAATGATTGATTAAAAAACGTTGTATTTTACATTAATGAAAGGCTTCATTTGTGCTAGTTTTGTCATGCAAATTTCAGTGTGAAGAACATAACCTTATTGTTTCAGTGTACTAAGTAATCAAGAATGGCAGTTTAATATCTGTCAGTGTTTTTGATGTTTGTAATCATGATGTACGTAATATAAATGCAAATAACTTTTAAGAGTAAATTTGCCACCTTACTAGCGTTGTAGAACCTTATGTTACATTAGCTTTTAGCATTTTTCCAGGGGGAAATTTCCAAGGAGAAAAGCACTCATCACCAATAAACTTATAAACTTTTAAAAGTTTGAAGGTTTAAAGGGCTTATTTCATTTTTTTACCCCAAATCTGAGATATTTATACCTGTTCATCTCTTTTTCTCCTTTCTTCCATTTTTTTGGGGGAGGGGAGGGGCCCTTTGCCCTTTTGGGACGTCCACAAGTTGTTAAAATAGCTTCCTGTGCATTTGTCCATTTCAAATATGTATTGTTTGATGCTAAGTAAATAAATGTATCTGATAATCAAAATTGTGAACTGAAGTTTTCGCTACATTGCTTGATACATGTAAGTAAAAGAAATTGCATTAATGATAAAAGTGAAATCAATTTTTAAACACTGGAGGCACGTTGCCCTATTACAGGTGTCTATACCTGATGCCTAATTAAATATCGGCGGGATTGTGAAGCATATATTTGTCTTTGCCAATCCCTTTTTGCACACTCAGGCCTTACAAAGAGCTGAAAAAAGGAAAAGGAAAAAGGAAAAATGAAATATTAAGCAATGCTACAAATATTCAACTTGCATATATGGACAAATATTTGGGTTTGCAGATAAAGATTTTTTAAGGAATTAATTTTATAAAGATTTTGGTCAAAATTGTAAAATGTTTCAATATAAATGTGTAACTTCAACTAGAACGTTGACTATCTCCCAAACATGTTTTATTTTATCTTGCAATGTGGAAGAGTAATGACTGTATCATGATATTACGGAGGGGAAAGAATAATTCGTTGGAAAGTTCTTAAACAATTGTTAACTCTTAATATAAATTTCTTGTTACAAAAGCAGTGCATTGCCTTAATTCTGTACTTAATTCTTTGAGACGTCTGGACTTTCAAGTTCAAGATATCTGTCTCGACTTATGTACCACTGAGAATTGACCATTATTGTATTTGTGTGTCATGCTTCTTTCTTTTTGCTTTTGTTTCAGAATATAAACATGGAAAATTTGAAACCACGTGATATTGTTTTTACTACAGTAGACGCTCATTATACTCGTAGAATTCGTTGATTTCCGATGAAACAGAGAGTTTCAACTTTAATGGAAGGTTGGTGTGACGGTTGTGTCTAAGTTGTTTTCCTGTAATAATGGATTCTGGATAATTCAACATTGGGTGTGCATTTATGCTTGCCAAAATGAGTTTGAATAAATTTTAACAAAGAATAATCTACTCTGCCTTATTTTAATGTTTATACTTTTCTTACATGTTTTAGGAAGCAAAAGAAATCTCTTATGTGAAAAATACCAGGAATCAGAATGAAGTTAAACAACTTTAACCGTCTACATTTAGGCCTGATTAAAGTAGAAGTATTTAAGCAAGGATGTGTTTTTTATGATAGCATCCTCTGGGGCATAAAGGGTAAAATAGACTGCCGGCATGCAGCATGGAGATCGTTGTCTCCCGTCTTGACGACAGCGCTGTAGAGTACTATGGCACCGTTCATTTCCGTCTAGTTTTTTCACGATATTTTAAACATTTATCGCTCAATTACATTTGTGTTTTCCCTGTGATCGCTCACTGGTTTTACAATTTGTTTTGATAAATATTTCTTTCAAACATGTTAACCTGGCCATAAATTTCCAGCTCTTTATTTTTTCCTGGTGTTACGCTCAATTGTTATATTGATCAAACGTAATTCAAAAGAAAGTTACAATTTTTTTTAAACATAGTTTTTAAACGTATCTTTTAATTAGAGTAGATTTTATACAAAACTAAAGTCGAACTCAAAGTGAACTTCACATTCGTGACAGCCTATGATAACTACGGTATACCACAGTGCTTTGCCGATGCGGGGGTGGCAGAGGGCTCTACGTAAGAACACGTAGTCAGGACGATTACTTGTAGCAACTCTATACTAGACTAGCTAGTACATTCAGTCATCGGGGTCACGGCGGAACCGAAGGATACGATCGCCGGTCCTAGTGTTGACGGTCGTTCAAAAATGACGCTTGGAAAGAGGATTTAGGAGAACCACCATAGAGTACCGTAAGAGTGACGTCATTTTGAACCAGAAAGTGTAGTGTGAACAAGTGAAGTACGTGTCTGTGTTAGTTCATGCGGTTGTTTCGTGCAAATGCAGGACTGGTCCCCGTCCCAATTACATAGGGATCGGTAGCTATCTTATACCAAGCACGAAATGGGACAGAGGGGTACCCCCCAACAAGTTCAATCTCCATACACACTCCAGCCTATCGTCACTTAACACATCCCCCTAGATGTCTGAAAAGAATTCCCGAGATACCAGTGTATCTATGACCAACACAAAGGTGTGTGTACATGAGTTTGTTTCTGCATTCACTTGGGGACCCTGAACAATAGAGGACAATAAGGTCCCCGATTGACAGAGGGTCCCCGATTGACAACTGTGTACAAAACATATGGGTGGTCCTCTAAAAAAGTTAAAGTACAAACAAAAGAGGAACAATAGGGGGTCCCCAGTTGAAGGCAAATACACACTTGTGTTGGTGTGTGTGGGGGTTCTCTCTGTCCCACAGTTTGCTGAGCTAGCTGGCATCTGGGTTACGTAGTCAGTTTAGCTTGCAATGGCCTTTCTATTCATAGAGATGCTTTTTACAATACAACCTTTCGTGGACGTGACAGCCGAACATTTGCCTCTTTGGAAACCCTTGGAAAAGTTTTTTTTTTAACCTTTTTAAGGAAGCAGGTACCCCTAAAACTCAGTAGAGAGGATGTTAATCTATTCTAAAAGTCTTCCAAAGTTTTGCCATGTGATAGGTTGCATTGTGGGAATGTTATATGCTAATTTACTCATTATCATAAAACCTACAGCATTCCTCTAATACGGAGTAAGCCCTTTGCCAGTTAAATTTGAATAAAATCTGGTACACTGAGATATCTGATTGCACATTAAAACATAACAATTTGAATTCCCCAGACTAAAAACAAGGTTGCCATACCTCGTGTTTCGGGACTTGCTTTTACATAGCGACCACCATCTCCGGACTGGTTCCTTTGTGCCCTTCTTATCCATTGAAAACAGTGTATTTAGGCAAGGCGTCTCTTATGTAACTAAGGAAAAGCTTGCCCGAATCACAAGGTATAGCAACAGCGTTGTCGGTATGGAGAACTCAAATTGGTATATTCACGTGTACTCAGTGTACAAGATTTTATTCAAACCTTACTCGCTAAAGGCTTATTATCTACTATGGGTCCCTACGTTCGGAGGACGTCTGTACATGAAGGGCGCAGGAGTTACAACTCGTGCACTGCAAAGTGCTCGATGGCTGTCAGCGCCCAGTCAGAGAAAGTGCAAAATGCTCGATTACTGCCTGCAGCATAGTCAGATAAGTAAGGCCCAGTGAGATGCTAGCTGTGGTTTTTGTTTGCAATGCGGGCGATACACAATAGTGCGCCTCCAAGAGTGTGCAACGCGTTGGCCAATCACAACGCGCAAAATCTGTCGACCCTTTCCAAACGGGCACTGGATCGACTGATTTCGTGGAGGTGCACTTTTGTCCAACGCCCGTATTAACTACAACGTACAGCCGTGACCAGAAAATATGGAAAGAAAAATCCCTACGTTAGACTTACTGTTGATATCTTAAAAACACTATTTTTGATACACTGATCTAATACGCATATAATGTTTGTAATTCCTCCGTGACCTGTAAGACTTTCAGAACTATGCGTACGGGAAACAGAATAATTGCCCGACTTAAGAGAGATCTTGTGCCTGACACAGGATAGGTTTAAAATTATTTCATTTTCTGGAGTTCTTGCAAATCTTTTTGTAATTGTTATGTGACTTAGGAGGCTGCTGCCGACTCAGTCGACATAGAGCCTGAATGTCGACCCCTGATGGCACGCTTTCGGAACCCTTGTAACTTGTAACTAGTAAAAAGGCCTTTCGTAAAATATTTGCTACCATATTAATTTATAGAAAATGAAAAATTGCCTGACTTTAATAAGGAAAATAAACTAAGAATAAAATCTGCTTTATTGCAGACTTTTATTTTTAGGATCCGGAGTGAGTATATCTCGCCGGGCTGGGTATTCGTCAAGCAGAAGGATGTGGACCTTCAGCGCTGAGGCTGTCGAGTCTAGAGCCGCCAGGGCCTTCGTGTTGGACGAACACCCCTGTTTCCCTTTGTGAGTTTTGATTTTCCCGCTCGTGGGCGATTAAAGCCCTTTAGTTACATTGCTTGCCAGTAAAACATAGGGTAAGTTTTAAAGTGTGTCTCCTGATCTTTAAATGTCTCCACGACAGTGCTCCAAGTGATTTGCTTGATGTAGGGATTCCTAGTAAATTGGTTTTAGATTTAATGATGTTGTAGCCTTTCTAAGTTAACGGAGAAAACCCACTATAATTTTACATTTATATTGTGAATCAAGCCTTGCTTTTGGAGACAAAAATAAGGCAGAGGGTTTATTAAAGGAGAGCAGTCGGTGGGTAGGGACCTACCAAAAAACATAACAGGGAATACTAATTCACAGTTTTGTAATCGAGGGGATTCATCTCGCGGCGTTGTTCCATGATCATCCTTATTTATATTGTACTTTAACCTTTCCCTGCCATGTAATACCTTGAGTCATTTTCCAACTTACGGGATAATCTCGTAAACCTATGAGTTTCAACCTAGCCCCGCTACAATTGACCAATAGAGAAGTGTAATTATGGAAATTTAGTTCATTTCTTTGTTGAGATAAACAAATCATTTTTGTGTTTGACAAATTCTGTGTTTTGTTTCTTTTTCGTTTGAATTATTCCTTGATTTTCAGTCTTTAGGTAAAAGCTGAAATACAAATAAGAAAACAAATTAAGTTAAATAATATACAACTATAAAGGTAATAAACTTGAACAGTGTACGTTTAATGAAAATTGAAAAGTCCAATCTAACATTTGCTGACAAGAACTGCATAAATATGGCAAATCGGACTGACTTCAGAACCTATTGAATGTAAGGAGGTATATCTAGCGATGTTATCTGCTTTGAGCAAAAGCACCCCTTCATCGCTTATAGAGCCATGTTACATGGTCGTGTGTGTTCATTTTGCTGGTAGCAACGCAATCGTAACGTGTGCATTTCGTAGTCGTTTGTGAGCTAGCGAAGTGAAGTGCTGGCCAAAGGAGCCCTCGTTGTTAAGAAAATTGCGCCCTCTAGCTCGGGGCTCCTACAATCTCTTTTTCACGTTATGGCATGAAGTGAAAACAAACGTGCACACACGAGGTG